AAACCTGTAAGTCAATTAACAAATTATTATACAATTTTTTATGGAAAAATAAAACTCACTACTTGCGTAAATCAGTAGCTTTAAATTCATATGATAAAGGAGGTATAAATTTTATTGATTTCGGTGCTCTTAACAACACCTTTAAAATAAACTGGATTAAAAAGTATTTAAAAAATCCCACTTCTATCTGGAACTTTATCTCACATCATGCGGATGATATCCAAATCTACTTCCCTCTAGACCTGGATCTCCAATCCCCGCTATTGCCGTTGCTTAACTGCCTGTGTGACGTCAAAGACTGGCTACTGCATAATTCGCTCACCCTCAACGAAAATAAAACAGAAATGATCGTCTTTGGTAGCCACATGCCGTTGAAACAGCTATCGGGGACCTTAGGTTCTTATGCCAGTCACCTATCGTCTACTGTAAGAAATCTTGGAGTAGTGCTGGACAGTTCCCTCAAATTAGATAAGCAAGTGGCTGCAGTAGTAAAAACCAGCTTCTTCCAACTACGCCAAATTTCGAAGGCAATGCCTTACCTACAACACAAGGACCTTGAAAGGCTCATTCATGCTTTTATAACCTCTAGGCTGGACTATTGTAATTCTCTTTACCTAGGCCTGCAACTGTCCCTCATCCAACGCCTACAATTAGTCCAGAATGCCGCTGCACGCCTTTTAAGCGGCACTAGAAGACAGGAACATATCACTCCTATTCTAGCTAACCTTCATTGGCTTCCTGTCAAATACCGTATTGTTTTTAAAATCCTTCTATACACTTTTAAAATTTTAAATAACCTGGCACCTAGCTATCTGATTGACCTTCTTAATTTATATATCCCCACAAGGGCACTCAGATCCTCTAATCAGGGGCTCCTAATGCAACCAATGTCTCGACTAAAGACGAAAGGGGATCGTGCCTTTGCTTTTGCTGCACCAAAACTTTGGAACAGCTTGCCGGTTGATGTCCGTGCGTCGGAAACTACTCAATCTTTCAAATCACGGTTAAAAACCCATTTGTTTAAGCTTGCCTTTCAAACCACTTAGTATAATTTCCTTCCGGTTCGTGCTTGTTGTAATATTACCATTCTATAACTGTATTTTTTGTTGTTGACTGTTCTCTTTTGTTGTAAATCTGCAAATATGGCTCGTCTGTGAAGCACTTTGTTGTACCTGTGACTTTTAAATGTGCTATAGAAATAAAATTGAAATTGAAATTGAAATTTACTCACATCATGTGTTCTCTAATTTAGGCGGCCTTAACTTCCTACTGCTCTGCAATTATAGTATTCCAAAAATACCACTGAAACTTTCTCACTTTCATCAACAAATTCTTTTGGCATGGGCGCTGATTTACAAACACAATTTCTCTCCACAAAACTGTTTTATTTGGAATAACTGCAATATTATTTATAAAAATAAAACTCTTTTTTTAAATAACTGGTTTAATAATGGAATAATCTTGGTTAGTCAGTTATTTAGAGAAGATGGACTCTTTTATAATTACTCTGAGTTCCTCAGGAGATACAATGTACCGATAACGCCTAAAGAATTCTCAATAGTGTTCGATGCCATCCCATCTGGTCTGTCCATGTTACACAGATGCTCCCACAGTGCTCCACTACAGGTCACTCCCCCGGATGTGTTACATTCTTCTCTTGGCAATGTTTGCTTTTCCTCTCATAAGTCTATAAATACCAAAATAAGATCTCTCTTTCAGGATGCAATGGTCTCTGTTCCATCAGCCATATTTTATTGGGCCAATTTTGTAACAGATATTGAATGGAAAAAAGTTTGGACTTTACCACAAAGGTTTTTCTTGACAAACAAAATTAAAGAGATTTCTTTTAAGTTGATTCATAAGTTTTACCCTACCAAACAATATTTGTCCAAATTTATGGCTGAAATAAATGTAAATTGTACTTTCTGTCAAGAGCAACCTGAAACAGTTTCTCATCTGTTTTGGTCATGTAAATTTACGTGTAAATTCTGGAAGGATTTCCACAAGTTTATTACTGACTTTGTTCTCCCTAATCTTCAACTGTACTATAAGGATGTTATCTTTGGCTATTATAATTTTAAAGACAAGGACAATGATGCTTTCTTTTTTATAAATTTGGTTTTATTTTTGGCAAAATTTCATATACACAAAAGCAAAGTCCTCGGCAGAAAGCCTGAATTTCTTGTATTAAAAATGGAACTTGCACAATATATAAGGACAATCTCCTCGTCAAAAAACACGAAGGCTCTCAAGACTGTTAACATCTGTAACCGATTGAAACTGCTAACTTGATTTTGGCTCTTGCAAACTTTTGTTTATTTTATTTTTTGTACTCACTTTTGTCTCACTGTCCTTGTCACTCTTTCTGTTCTTCATTGTACTACCACAATGTCATCTTTTATGTGATCCCTGTTTTACTTGACTGTATGTCTAAAATGTGATAAATAAAGTTAAAAAAAAAAAAGAAAGCGTGCAGACCCTGAATTGGGACACAGCCTGCGTGTGTGTCACCACACTCCGGCCGGTGGGGGCGGTGTAGCTCAGGTGAGCGTAGAAGAAGAAGACCTTAGCCGCCGTTAGCCGGAGCTGAGACAGCGTGATGTCCGCGGTCTCTAAGGTGGTCTTGGGAGTGTCCGTGGTTCTGACCGTGAGCACCGTGGCTGCGGTGCACCTCAAACAGGCCTGGGACAGAGAGGTAAGCCGGGCCGGGGCAAGCCGGGCTAACATCTAGCCTGCGTGTGCCGGAACGGGTCACGGGGGCTAACGAGGCTAACGCTAAAGCACAGGTGGTGGTTAAACTCAATTGAACGGACACAGGTGACGTCACACAGACGTTAAAATAGTAATAATAAATAAACACGATAATGACGATAAACAGCAGCCAACAACCGCTTCCTCCAACGCTTTTCAAAATAAAAGACTCAGTTGGCAGGTAAACAATGAGTCCTTACATTTATGGCTCAGTTAGCTAATCAGGCGTTATCGGAGTTAACTTTAGCTCAGGTGAGTGCAGAACACGTGACTGACAGAACTGCAGTGGGGTCAGATTTTTTATTTCTGATTCTGTTACGCTTACAGGTGTGCCTTTATTTTGGAGGTGCGTTTTCTGTCGTGTGACCTCTGTGAGGTCTCGAGTCCTGCTCTTAAATAACAAAGAAACAGAAAATCCCACATCTGGGTTTAAGGTGTTCGCACCATGAGAACAAAGCTTGGAAGCTGCTGGAGGCATCTCACCTGTGACACCTGTTTCAGTAATCAGTGCTCAATAATGATCACTTTCTCCAGCGCCTTACAAGAAACCCAAGAATGCTTCGCAACACAAGTCAAAAAGGTCAAAGGTTTAAGTTTGTGTGTTTAAGTTGAAGTGAAGCTCCTATGGGAGAGACTCCACCTTTGAGGGTTCTGTTGTAAGGGACAGAAAGCAGACCGGACTGTGTACAGGTGCCGAGGGGCGGAGCACTGAGGGATTAATGAGTGAGAAGCAGGATCTGTAAGTGAACTGGTGGAGATTCATGAGGGCGGGGCTCACATGTCCCCAGAGCTTGATCAACGATGAGTGGTCTTTGTGTTTGTCGTGCAGCGCCTGCGTGAGGGCGTGGTCAGGGATCTGGAACGCCTCGAGCGCAGGAAAGAGAACCTGCGGATGCTGGAGGAGCAGCGGCTGCTGACCCGACAGCTGGAGGAGGAGAGACGCCGCAGGGAGGCCAGGCTCCACCCACAGGACACCTGAGAAAAGGTAAACACTGTTGTGGACCTACGCTATTGCGTTCCCGAGTCTCCTTACGACTGGGTCACCTGTAATGTTTCTGCTCTTGCGTAGATTGCAGCGGTCACCTGCCCAGGTGTGCCGTACCTGAAGCAGGATGATGGACAGCAGTGGCGAGCAGCTGGTGGGAGGGGAGGACGAGGCAGCCTGCACGTCGGCGTCGGACGGTCTGGAAGAGGGGGAGGTGGAGGGCGAGACGCTGCTGATTGTTGAGTCGGAGGACCAGGGCTCTGTGGACCTGTCACATGACCAGAGCGGCGACTCCCTGACCAGTGACGTGGGTGAGGACACCGACGGGGGGTGGGTCTGCGAGGACATGTCCTTCTACTGCGACCGCTGCCACAAGTGGATCCCCGCAGGTGAGCTGGCCAATCGCAGCGCTCCGTTTCTGACGTGACCGACGTCACTACCTTCTCCAGTAGGTGGCGCTACCTGCTGTTCTCGTTCATGTCGCGCACAAGTGATGTCAGAGGATGCTCGGCCTTGTTGCTATAACAACCCAACGCAATCAAGTCTGTGGGTTCCCGGCGATACCACAGTTGTAGCTACGGGGTCGGACGATATGCTGAGAGCGTTATGGCGGGAACAAAAGGGATCCAGACGCTCCGCTGCGTTCGTGCTCCCACCGCGTGCCGGCCGGTCCGTCTCACATGGCGCTCATTAAAGCTGTCACGCGAATCAACGGTCGTACCCGCTGAACTCTGAAGCGAGATCTGCACTTCTGCGCGCGGTAGCTTCCTCCACATGGCGCCACCTTCAGGCACGAGCTCCTCCTCGCGTGTGCACGAACGCCGTTTAGCCCAGCTCCAGAACACGGCGTGAGCGTGCTCTCGGTTAAGTGTCACACGACGCGATGGACAATCACATGATATGAGCCCTAATGTGACCTCTGACCGTGCTGTAAGCAGGTATGAGAGTAAAGGTGAGGTCTGATGTGGCGTGGGTGGAGCCAGACAGGAAGCTGTTAGTCCAGCTCGTCTGCAGCTTCATCGGTTGAGAGCAGGCACTGGTGGTAACCTAGGAGACCCCCAGCAGGTGTGCGGCAGCAGCTGACTCTGTACCTGTGATCGTCCCCAGCTCAGCTCCGTGGCGAGCAGCCGAGCTACCTGAAGGGAGACAACTTCTTCAAATTCGTCTGCTCCGACTGCTCTGAAGATGGCAAGGAGAGCTTTGAGAGGATGAGGCTCACCTGGCAGCAGGTAGGACTTTAGCCCCGCCCACACACACAGAGACACACACCTCAGATATGCGGCGTGCTGACGGCGGCTTCTTCCTGCGACAGGTGGTGATGTTGGCCATGTACAACCTGTCTCTGGAGGGGACGGGCCGGCAGGGCTATTTCAGGTGGAAAGAGGACATCTGCGCTTTCATTGGTCGACACTGGAACTTCCTGCTGGGCTCGAGGTCGGTCGCAGACGGACAATAAAGTTTTGCTCTCCATCGATAACGTGCCGGCGCTCACGTTCGTGTTGCGCTCTTCTTTGCAGGAAGAAGACGTCCACCTGGTGGAGCACGGTAGCGGGCTGCCTGTCGGTCGGAAGCCCCGCCTTCTTCCGCTCCGGAGCGCAGGAGTTCGGTGAGCCTGGCTGGTGGAAGCTGGTCCACAACCGACCTCCGACCCTGCGACCAGAAGTGGACAAATCCGTGACAAAGACTAAAGGTAAGCCGCGATCGAACGCTGGCTCCCAACTGGACGGTGTCTGTTGACCTCTGACCTTGGACGCCATTTACCCACAGCGTCCAAACCCGTGCTGGACCCGATTATCACTGTGGAGGGTCTGCGCAAACGCGGAGCTCGGAACCCCGTGGAGAACGCCATGCAGCTGAAGGAGAAACGCTCGCGCACTCAGGAGGCCAAAGAAATCCGGCGGGCCCAGAAGGAGGCGGCGGGCGGATACACGGACCGTAGCGCCGCCTCCACGCCAGTCAAACTGGGTGGAGGCCGTGGTGCAGGTGGTGGGCGGCGCCCAGATCTGGTCCTGGAGAAGGGCGAGGTCATTGACTTCTCTTCGCTCAGCTCCTCAGACAGAACGCCACTCACCAGCCCGACGCCATCGCCTTCACCTGACTTTTCTGCCCCGGGAACGCCAGCCTCTCATTCGGCGACGCCCAGCCTGCTGTCGGAGGCAGACCTTATCCCTGACGCCATGCCGCCACAGGCGTTGTTCCACGGTGAGGTAACACCTGATTGGTGCAGGGTCAGGTGGTTTTATGTGATGTAAGTGCTGATGGCGTGTTCTGCTTCCTCCAACTCAGATGATGAGGAGATGGAGGCGGAGGGGATGATCGACCCGGGAACAGAGTACATCCCGCCTGCCAGTGCCAACCTGGGCACCCGCAAGAAGCTCCGCCCACCACCGCCTCACGTCAAGCGTGAAGCAGAGAGCGAGGAAGACGAAGGCCGTGACCACGACTTTGAAGAACCCGTAGGACAAAGTGAAGACACCCCGCTGTCCGCAGGCGGCGGTGGCGGGGGACCTGAGCGCAGAAGGACGACTCATCCGGAGAACGCTGCCGGCAACGCCCAGAGCCCTCGCTACGCCGCTCTCAGTCTGTACGAGGAGAGGATGCTGCTGCGAAGGCTGGACGCTTGCCCGCTCGCGTTGGCCGTCACGCCGCAGGCTAAACGCCTCCACAGGAAGTTGCTGGTTCGCCAGATAAAACGACAGAGGAGGCACCCCCTGCTGGACATTGACAGAGTGGTCAGCGCCACCCTCAGCCTGGTGGGAGGGATCTATGGCGCCCAGGAGGCGGGAGCACAAATCGGCGGCGGTGTGAAAGGGAAGTACTGTACCAGCAGCCAGGAGCTGCGGATTCTCGATCGCTTCCAGGTAACGCACACACTTCCTGTCCGTCCACGTGACGCGCCCGCGTGCACCAATCACTGCAGCTGATGCAGCGTTCACACTGTTCGCTTCACCTGTCCGTGTTTTACAGACCGGCGTCTCCGGCAGGCGAGGCGTCCAGCAGCCGTCCGTGTCCTTCTGGCATCGTCTGATGGGAGCCGAAGGAAGCCTGGAGCAGACCATCAGGAGCCCGTACACCTCCCGCCTCCTCAAACCCTACATCAGGTAAACCTCCGGGTCAGAGCCACACCTGTGGTCGGAGAGTCCTCTGAGCTTCCTGCGAGGTGGAGGTCTGGGGCTGTGCGATATGACCAGAATCTCATGTCCCGATATCAGACATCTATCGTCCGGTAACGATATAAATCACAAATGTAACATTTTCTGTAAAGTCTGTGAATCTCGGGCAGCTCGTCTTGCGTGAAGTGTTTCCTGCTGCGCGTCATGTATCTGGAGTCGAGCGTTTTAACGATGCATGAAACGACACATTTTTAGACATAAGTTGTAACGGCGCCGTTTTCTTTGTGAGTATTTATTACACGGCGTGCTGCGGGGAGAAGCCTGTTCTAACGTTTGAGTCTAAGGTTTATTTTTTAGCACCTGGCGGCTCTTTTTTGCTTCTCATCCATAAACACTCTGCATCTTTCATGTGATTCAGTTTATTTTGAAAAGTCTCAGCAGGATCTTGAGCTTTATTGTGAAAGGTTTATGTGGAACATAAACAAGTGGACACGCGATGGTCTTATCATCGTTGTTGCTAATGATGACGCATAAAACCAGGCGCTTGTGCGTCCGTAGTGGTTATATTAAATCTAAGAGAAAGAGAACTTTAAGAAATGAATAATAACTACAGGGACATCAGGACATGAAAAATATTACCGTAAACAGTTTATTTTGCGACACCACGAAACAAACGACAGATGTTTTTATATCGTTATATGGAACAGCCCTATGGAGGTCCACACCTGCGTTCTCCATCTTTCTTTTCTTTTGTCTAGGCGGGACTACGAGAGCCGTCCGCCGAAGCTCCGGCTGCTGGCCGAGATCCGAGCGTACCCGCACAGGAAGGAGCCGGGCTGGGCACCTGAACCCGACGCTCCCATCGACTACTGCTACGTCCGTCCAAACCACATCCCCTCCGTCAACGCCATGTGTCACGACAGCTTCTGGCCAGGTAGCGCGCTTGCCTGTTACGCCCCGTGGCGCCGTCCGGCTGTGGCTCAGACCTCCGTCTGCTCCTCCCACAGGTGTGGATCTATCCGAGTGCCTGCAGTACCCTGACTTCAGCGTGGTCGTCCTTTACAAGAAGGTGGTGGTGGGCTTCGGCTTCATGGTGCCGGACGTGAAGTACAACGAGGCCTACATCTCCTTCCTGCTCGTCCACCCCGAGTGGAGGCGGGCCGGCATCGGGACCTTCATGATTTACCACCTGATCCAGGTGCGACTGCAGGTGGGCGGGTCAGGGGCGTCCGTGCTGCTGCGACCATCCTAACGTGTGTGTGTTTGTGCGTTTTTCAGACGTGTATGGGGAAGGACGTGACGCTGCACGTGTCGGCCAGCAACCCCGCCATGCTGCTGTACCAGAAGTTCGGTTTCAAGGCCGAGGAGTACATCCTGGACTTTTATGATAAATATTACCCCGTGGACAGCGCAGAGTGCCGCCACGCCTTCTTTCTGCGACTGCGGCGCTGAGCCCCGTCCCCAGCTGACCTGCACCTGAGGCAGGTGTGCAGCTGTCAGTGCTGTGAGGAACATCTGGGACTGTGTGTGCGCTGCTGTTTGTGTTTCTGAGGTATTAAAACCAACGTGCTGAAGCTCCGCCTGCTCTCTCGCCTGCTTTACACTCGATCGCCCTCCATCCTAACCACTCGCTGCAGTCTGCCATCAGCACGCTGCTGGGAGCGAGCAGGACAGGCAGGAACTGTTACTCTGCAAATTCCAAATCCAGGTGCGCTCTCACGCCACACGGTGTGCACGCAGACGTTAACAGCGCTTCAGTTAGAGCGCCAAGTTTCATGTGTTACTGTCATGTACAGATAAACAGAGCAGCCACATCTACCCATAATGAAATTCTTTGGCTCGTGCTCCTCAGCTTTACATGAGCATATGGAGAGTGTGCAGAAAATAGCAGAAACAATAATGAAAAAGAGAAAAGGATTCAATATTTAGAGAATTGATGACAAGTTGGTTTTTACAGGCTGTGCAAAACTTGTGCAATGAGCATGTAAGTGGCATTAGTTGAAGTGACAGTCCTGTAATCGTAGTGAGTGTGTAATGGTGTGTATACGGTCAGCAGTTCAAAAGCCTGATTGCTTGTGGGTAAAAACTGTCTTTGCATCTGGTAGTGCGGGTCTGGATGCTCCTGCTGGACGTGTGAAAAGTCTGTGGCCGGGATCTGCTGCGTCTTCCTCATGCAGCGCTGTCTGCACAGATCCTGCAGGGCTGCCAGTTCAGTCCTGGTGATGCGCAGTGCTGATCTCACCGCCCCCTGCAGAGCTTTGTGGTGCAGAGCATTACAGCTGCCGTACCAGGCGGTGATGCAGCCAGTCAGAATACTTTTAATGGTGCATCGATAGGTTCTTAGTATTCTGGGGTTCATGCTGAACCTTCTCAGGTGCCGCAGGAAGAAGAGCCGCTGTCTTGCTGCTCTTGTGATGACACCAACATGGTGTGACCAGCTCAGATCCTCGCTGATGTTGATGCCCAGGAATCTGAATCAGCTGACTCTCTCCACTTCTGCTCCACGATGTGGATGGGGGCGTGGCCTCCTCTCCTGTAATCCACGATGAGCTCCTGGTTTTACCAGCATTTATACATGTACACAAACAAAGAATTACTGAAGCGAATTCATGCTCTCATCGTCCGATCTGAGCCGGCACACTGGACGTCAGTCGTAAGATAATCTAAATCTAATTTGGCATTTTAATGTAAGATAATCATAACGTGCTTTACTGTAAGTTTACCTTTAAATCCATTTTACTTAAAGAGGCTTTTTCTCACTGGAGGATTACATACATATCACATTCATATTAATTACGAGGCACTTTGTTTGGCAACCCTCCCCCCCATGCAGAAAGATGTGAACACCTCTATCCTGCACGTGCTCAGTTCATCGGGGTCAGACAGCCTGGTGTCAGATGTGAAGGTGACACCTGGTTTATTTCCAGAACCACCAGCAGGGGGAGCTGCAGGAAACATTTCTGGACACTTTAACTCTGACACGTGATTGTGTGCAGGGTATTTGCCATTGTGTTTATGTTGTTGATGCAGTGTAACTAGTTAATAATAACAAAACCCAACAATCATATGACCCCCTATGAGCAGCACTTTGGTGACAGTGGGAAGGAAAAACTCCCCTTTAACAGGAAGAAACCTCCGGCAGTAGAAACCTCAGTAGTGCACACAGCGGATGGAGCAGTTTTTATCAACAGTAGCTAACCTCCACCCGGCTGGCTGTCCGAGCCGAGGCAGTCACAGTCTGGAGGGCTCAGAGAGCCGTCTCGACTCTTCACGTTTAGCCAAGTTTGTGTCACCAGAAGAAACTCCAGATATCGAGAGGTGAAGAAGTCATTCAGTCTTATCTGTTAGTGACCGGCCATGAACCAGAGCAGCCTGCTTCACACAGGTCACAGGCCGGATGAGATGCACAACCCCTGGGATGAAGGCTCCGCCCTCCCTCTGCTGAAGCTGACAGGGGGTACGATCCCCCTGGCGAGGAACCACCTGAGGTCCAGGACCACAAGAACACAGCAATGCCTCATTAGACAAGGACTAAACTTTACCAACACACCAGCCCGTTTCACCGTCTGTGGTTGTGGAATCATGCTGCCAGTGTCACCTGTGCAGGTGTTCAGTAAATGTTGTATGGGTGGTGTTCATGGTTAGCTTTGTCAGACTGTTAGACAGTAAGCTGTGACTGAAACATACGTGGAGGATGAGTGTGGACTGTCCTTGTACCTGATGAAGGTCAGTCTGAAGCACCGGGTCGTCCCCTGCAGGAGCAGCAGTACACAGAAAGGTCTCAAACCTTAAACCATTCTGTAATTTCCAGCTGGGGGCGACTGCCCAGAGGTCTGATTTTTTTTAATGTGTATGTGTTAGTCCCCATAGGGAAATAGTTCCTCTGCATTGAACCCATTCACCCAGTGAAGCAGCCACCAATGCAGCGCCCGGGGAGCAGTGTGTAGGGACGGTACCTTGCTCAGGGGTACCTCAGGGTAGCCGTTCAGTGGAGTTGAACCCCCGACCTTCCGATCATGGGGCCACCACTCTACCTACTGAGCTATCCCTGCCCCCCCTTTTTTCTTTTCTTTTTTTTTTAAATTAAAGTCTGAGAGAAAATGAACATCCTGATGACCTCTGACCTCCGTGAACTCTTTACTTGCTGCTTTCAGGTGTTTTGGGGTGAGACATGAGGTTTATTTTGGAGGAACAGGAAGCAGCGCACCATAAACGAGATCAGGGGCCCGTTCTTCGTATTTCGCTTACTACATCCAAGATCTAATGACACATCCAAGATCAAATCATCGCCCAACTTTGAGCTCGCTATTCCGGTTCTCCGAACACACCTGTTGTTGACGATTAGTACAGCTGGATGAAGTAATGTGAGATCACTGGGTGGCTTAACAGGGGCTACGCATCGATAGTAGAAACATTGATCGGCAACCCTTTGATTGGTCGGCGAAAATGTCGAAGGAGCGCGCTCGGTATTTTTCGGCAGCAGAGCAAGAACTCTTGAGTGAGGGATTTCAGGAGTTTCAGAGTTTAATTAAAACGCAAGGGAACACTGCAAAGGCTGCAAAAGCAAGGAGAGAGGGCTGGCAGAAAGTTGCTGACAAATTAAACTCGTAAGTAATTTAATAATAACAATAATAATGGAGTGGATTTATATAGCGCTTTTCAAGGCACCCAAAGCGCTTTACAATGCCACTATTCAGTCACTCTCACATTCACACACTGGTGGAGGCAGCTACGGTTGTAGCCACAGCTGCCCTGGGGCAGACTGACAGAAGCCAGGCTGCCATATCGCGCCATCGGCCCCTCTGGCCAACACCAGTAGGCGGTAGGGTAAATTTATTATATTATATTACATTATATCCTCTTTCACATTAGAGCCACAACAGGACCCACTAGAACATGGGAACAAGTAAAAGTGAAATATAAGAATATTCTACAGAATGGTAATATTTATCACTTATATTGCTTTTAGTCTCTTGGAAAGAGACCCTGAAATAATCTGTTTGTTTATAACAGCAACCAAGAAAAGGGCAGAGCAAAAAAAGACAGGTGGTGGTCCTGCACCCCCTCGTCAACAAGTTGGTTAAGTAAATAATACCCTCACGGGAAAATCGATATCTCTCTATGAGCACACTGTCGCGCTGAGCTAAAGGATCCTGTCTGTCCCGCAATATACGCTGAATTCTGAACTCTCCTTATCAATCTTGCACCTTCCGCAATGGGGCTCGCGTATACGGACAGGACATGGCTGCGACAGGCTTCCCAAATCCACCTTCGCTTTTATAGCCGTGGTCTCTCATCTTGATTACACGAAGTAATTTACAATTACTACTCTGAAATATGAATTACATCTGTAATAATCACATACATGTAATAGAATGTTAATAGTACATTTCCCTTTTTTAGGAAATGACCTGTATGTATCTGTGTGACATCAATAAAGGATCAAGTGCTGCATTATCTTTAGTTACATTGATGTTATTTATTTATGGTGAAACAGTGGTGGAATATCGCTGTTGCTTTCGTATAAATGAAGCGGACATACCTGCGTGGCCGCGATCTAATCCTGTTTACATAAAGTAAACCTGCTCCCGAGCAGGTTTACGCTTACGGCTCTGTTGCTATGACAGCAAGTCCCGGATGAGCTTCGGGGAACCGAACGATCCAGGATCACGCGAAATCGTCAACATTCAAATCCAGCTAACTTAGCGAGGTACGAAGAACGGGCCCCTACTTGTTTTTCTGTTTTATGGGCGGAGCTGTTAAATCAGACTCTAAAATAAAGAGAAGTCTCATCCCGAAATATTTTATTACTTGACCCTTGGCAGACACCTCGACACGTAAGTAAGTAAAGTTTATTTATTAAGCGCTTTTCGTAGACAGTCACAAAGCGCTGTACGCGAAGGTTAAGATAAACAGAACGTTAGTAATAAAATAGACAATATGAACAATATCAAAGTTAAATGTAAATAAAAAATGTTCAAGGCGTTGATCAACAGAAGGCTTGTTTAAACTGAAACAGCCTTTGTACAGCTTGGAGGCAAGAAAGAGAAGATCTGTCCAAGCTGGTAAACAGGACGTGACAATAATCTAAACACAACGACACAAATGCATGAACACTTTTCCAGATCAGCTGAGGAGACCATATGTCGCCGTTTAGAAATGTTCCTTAAATGAAAGAAACAGGAATGAGACGGAGATTTTACAGAGTCGAGGCCCAGAGACGAATCAGATATTTGACTTAACAGAAAGAAGCAAGAACCTGACTGACTTCAGATTGTAGTCCAGGATGAGTTACGATCGTTGTCTCGGTCTGGTTTGTGTTTAAAACAAGGTAGTTGTTAGAAAGCCAATCAGAAACCTGAGTTAAGCACTGGACTAGGGTGGACAGCGACTCCAGCTGAGCAAGCTGACACATGCAGCTGAATGTCATCGGCATAGAAATGATAAGAAATGACTGAATAATGCAGCTAATGGAAGCATGAAAATAATAATGGACCCAAAACTGAACCCTGTGGAACCCCACAGGTTGGGGGGCGACGTTAGGGGTGAACCTGTCAGTCCTAACAGTAAAGCTCCTGTCTGATAAGTAGGAAGAAAATGGTAAATGGCCTGTATTTATTTAGCGCTTTACTAGTCCCTAAGGACCCCCAAAGCGCTTTACATATCCAGTCATCCACCCATTCACACACAGGTAAAACCAGGTAAGCCGGAGCCAGATGCTCTTGGATATATGCGCCAAAACCTGTTAGCTTGCTAGCGTTTTTATGGTCAATGCTATCGAAGGATGCGCTGAGACAAAGCAAAACGATCACAGAACAATTCCTGCATCAGAACCCACCAACAGATCCCAGAGATCCGGTCTCAGTGGAAGCCTGCATGTCTGCGCTGACAGGAAGTGATGTCACTTTCTGAGCTGTACACATCACTTCACGTTCAGACCAATCAGAAAAAAAATCAGCTTCATCTTGAGTTCATGATTCCCAGTTTGCCCAGTCCACTCTGAGACGCCAGCAGAGACGCCATGCTGCTGCAGCCCAAGCTCGCCGCCACATCATACGCCGTCTGACCCGCAGCGTTCCTCCGCCTCACGTTGGCCTTACAACTGAAACCAGGGACAGAGAGGATGATGTCATTATGACAAGTGGGAGGAGCAACAACTGCAGGTACTGTGCTGCATTCAGTAGCAACTTGGAACTTTCAATCTCAGTCAGACCCGGCACACTGTTGCCACACCAACCGTCTCTCATTCAAGATCGAAGAACCTTTGACTCTGAAACACACCTGCAGGCGGCCGTGTTTACACAGAGTCACTGAATGCAGCATTTAACTCAGACTCACCTGAGCAGGACCTCAGCACACGGCACACCTGCAGACCCCAGTGCTGCAGCTTCATGCAGAGCAGTGTTCTTCATCCTGAGGAGGAGGAGGAGTGTCACCACACACGAGCATCACAGGGTCTAAATAATGGAAGCTAGTAGCTACAAGGACCAATCAGAGGGCTCCATCAGCACCTCATCCAGAATCTGAAGCAACCAGTGTGCGGGCAAGTTTCAGGTAAGTACAGTGAAGTGGGCGGAGTCTATGGGATGTTGTTATCATGAATCTTCATTCATCATAAGGTTCACCTTGAAGGTGATCTGCTCGATCCACGAGTCTAAGTACCGTCAGCCAATCAGAATCATGCATGAAATCAGCTGATAATAAATCGATTTGTTGATCAATTATTAAGTCATGTACTAACAGAGACTTGGAGGAGAGAGACCTAATATTTAATAATCCACATTTCACTGTTTTACTCTTTGGTTCAGATGTGGATACTGTATTGTTCTTTCTTTGTGTTTATGTTTAAGTTGTTTGTTGCTGGTTTTTAGTTTGTTTTTTGTCTGTTTGGGAGCTGACACAGTCTCTATGGAGATGGGTTTTTGGGGGGGTAGCAGGAGGAGAGAAGCTGCAGAGAGGCGTGTAAGACTGCAACTCTGCTTCCTGGTCCCAACTCTGGATAGTCATATTTTGGGGGGTTTAATAAATTTGTCCATATTTCTAGAAATGAGAGCTGCTCCATCCAAAGTGGGATGGATGCCGTCTCTCCTAACAAGACCAGGTTTCCTCCAGAAGGTTTGCCAATTATCTATGAAGCCCACATCGTTTCTGGGACACCACTCAGACAGCCAGCAATTTAAGGAGAACATGCGGCTAAACATGTCACTCCTGGTCTGATTGGGGAGGGGACCAGAGAAAACTACAGAGTCCGACATTGTTTTGGCAAAGTTGCACACCGATTCAATATTGATTTTAGTGACCTCCGATTGGCGTAACCGGGTGTCATTACTGCCGACGTGAATTATGATTTTACTGAATTTACGTTTACCCCTAGCCAGCAGTTTCCGGTTTGGGGTTGCTGCTCTGGTACTGGGGGCGGGCCCTCAGTAGACACACCTGTGGGATCACGTGTCACCTTGCTCTAGCTGTAAAAAATAAAAACCTGGTCTTACCATCCAGACTGTTGGTCGACGTCGGCGCCTCGCTGCACCAAAACAGGTAGGACGTCATGGTGACCATTTACCACGGCAACAGCCAAGGCGTGTAGGCCATCGCTCCGGCAGCAGGAAGGGTCCGCCCCCTGGCGAACAACCGCACACACAAATGTAAAGCGCGTCAGGTGACCCTGAGCAGGCTGTCGGTGCACGCAGAGGCTGGTACCTGGTCCAGGAGCTGCTGGATGACGCCGACCTCACCTCGACCCGGACCCAGCTCCGTCAGCAGCTGAACATCCTTCACCTGCAGCCAGACAGCCAATCAGAGAGGAGCATGAACAGGTATAATCAGCGAGGAACTGAACTCAGCTGTGGGCGGAATTTCTCACCGGCGGTTTGGGCGTCAGGAAAGGTTTGGAGGGTGGAGCCGAGAGCTGGTCACTTCCTGTCCGACACCAAAATAAAAGCACAGATCGATCAGCAGCTTCTGATTGGCTGATGTAAATGAAAAATCAATCACACTTTCTCTCGATTGAACATGGCACACACACACACACGCACACATACGCATGTACACTGACACAGATCTACACTCACCCCCCCTCCAAGCTCACGTCTTCCATGTTGTGAAATGTGATGATTCCTGTGCTGAGGTGGATCTCCCTGTTGGAGCTCAGTCGGGGGGGGGGTCTTTTTCCTCCTCGTCTTTCCTCGTGTTGCTAACTGACGTACTGATTATCAGCTCAGCTCAGGTGTAATGATACAACATAAAGAGGTCCCGCCCCTTTCACACTCTACTCTGTTCTGACTGGCCAACACCAGAGCACTCCCCAGCAGGTATCTGACCAATAACATGCCTGCTGGTTAATCGGACCAACACAGGTCTAAGTCTGAGGTCGGTTTTGGTGAAATCCGAGGAATCTAATTGGCTGAAATGTTGAGCTGAATGTCTGTGTGTCACATGGGCTCTCACCTGTCCACCCTGTTCGCTCTGCAACGCTGCTCAGAGTCTTGGTCCAGCTGGCGAGCTCAAATCCTCCACCTGGAGATCCCATGTCATCGTCAGCACCCACCTGAGACCACACCCCACTCGTTAAACTCGTTAAATAACCACGATGTTCTACGCTCAGCCCACCTGTTCCAAACACACCTGTTTTTCTTGAAGCTCGGCTGCTGCAAAGCTGACGGTCAGACTGACCTCACGGCGATCCTCCTGAATCACCGCAGAGACCATCTGCAAGGAAACACCACAGGAAGTGACCTGCCTGCACCTGCTCATGTAAAACCACCTCCTGATTTAACACACGGCGATGTCACTGCTGGACAGGTGAAGGGCGTGTGAGGTGTGATTTACCCGGCCCAGACGAGGCTCTCCCAGCAGCGCCCTGAAGGGGGCGTTGTTCTGGGCATAGCTCCTCAGGTGAGCGCATATGTGATCCAGCTGCTTCCTCCAGTAACCTGAACATGACAGGTGTCACACACGGAACGACGCCTCTGTAACCCCGCCCCCGACAGTGAGACTGTGAGTTGGGTTTTACCTCGTCCCGGGCTGATAGCGGTGAGCGGTGGGTGGCGGTCGCTCTGCACCTGCTTCCTGAGGAGCTGTAGCGCTCTGTGCTGCTCCTTCCTCTGCAGCTCAGTGCCTGATGGGTAATAGAGTCCTACAGTCTGTGTGCACTGATCCACAGTGGGTGTGGCGATCTTCACACTTCGCGGAGGGTGCAAAGAGGCAGTGGCCCGCCAGGTGGCGCCACAGGCCGTCTGCACTCCCACCTGCACACAAAAGGAGGGAGCTGACTGGCTGGAATCGAAGGAAACACGTGGAAGGCGTGATGTCAACATACCTGGCGGTTGGCGGCGCCCTTGACCGATCGTGTGATGTCACCGCAGGATCCGAGTGGGACCGGTGCTTCCAGGAAGATGCCGCAGGCGGTGCAGTAGGAAGCGTACGGGTGTGCACTTGCTCCACAACGCTGACACGTCACACAGCGGGCAGCGTGGGTGGGCTGAAAACACACAGTGTCACTACAAATCCCACAATGCCTCACTCCACACTGCTTTAGGTGTCAGGTGTGGGTTCACCTTGGAGCCGCACCAGTCGCAGAATCTCGCGTCGCTCCGGTTTAAACGTTTACATCTGGTGCAGGACAACATCCTGGTGTGCGCTCCTGGGTCAGAGGGCACAGCGCTCCTGGCTCCGCCCACCTGAAGCCATGAGGAGTAAAGAGAGCGTAAACTGTCTGTAGGTGAGGCTGTACAGGTGTGGTCAGCAGCTGCTTACCTGCTGCAAGCGGCTCTCGCAGGTCAGACAGCTGAAGGCGTCGGCCGGATTCCCACTTCCACAGCAGACACACATCACATGACCCTGCATCCACCACAGGTAAACACCAGGGTGTGTGTGTCTGTGTGTGTCTGCGCGTGTCTGCGCGTGTCTGCATGTGTCTGCGTGGGTGCTGGTCGTGTTGTCTGCGTGCGTGTGTGTGTCTGCGTGTGTCTGCGCGTGTCTGCGTGTGTGTCTGCGTGTCTGTGTGTGTGTACCTGCAGAGTGATGCCTGCCCGTGGCTGCAGCTGTTGATCGATGGCAGCTTCACACACCAAACAGCTGTGTGTGCTGGCGGGGACTAGAGCCCCACAGAACACACACAGCAACATCTGACGCACACACACACACACACACACACACACACACACACACAGATTCAATGTCAGGTGTTCAGCTGGACGTGGCAATGCTCTTACAGGTGAGTGCATGCAGTACCTGTCCTCCCTCAGCAGGTGGCAGCCTGTGACCGGGTAGCATAGGAAGCGCCGCTCCACACTGAGCGCAGAACTGAGCGAGCGGGTCGGAGGGGCGGCGATGCAGACAGCGAGCACACCTGGATGCACAGAAACTGTTGCTTCATCTGGTTTACACTGTGAAGCCAAAAGTATGTGGACACACCTGCACACCTGGGCAATGAGTGGAAATCAATCAAACTGAATGTATTTATTTGAAAAAAGAGAAAATGTTTTCCTCATTTTCCTTCTTCTTGGGACGTTCACCGGCTCTGTTTGACAAGCCGTCCACAAACTTTTGGCTCTGGAGGGCTGTACCGTGTGCTCGTACCACAGGAAGTCTGTGTCTCGCTGCACTCGTGTCGTCTCCGTGCTCTTCAGCTGCCTCAGGTCACCTGACTCCCTAAAAACCGCAGGTTGGGAGCGCTGAGATGAGGCGAGCTGGGCGCCGATCTCAGAGCCATGACGACCGTTCAGAAAACGAGGGCCTGACTGAAGGGAGTGATTTCCCATCATCTTTGGCTCTGGACACAGAAAACAGGAAGTGTGAAGCTCTGTGATTGGTCAGATGAAGAGAAAGAGCAGGTTTACCCCCCACCGCCCAAGGTTAAGGGGGAGTTCTTCATTTCGACTGTCTGCCCACACAGTATCCTCTGATTGGTTAGTTTTCTCTGTAATGTTGTACGTCTTTACCTGTCAGTACGGTAAGACTTGAGGTAGCTGTTGTAATGTACCGTATTATGAATAAAGTTGAATTTAACTGAACACACCTGAGGTCTCAGCAAGAAAGGATGTTCCTTCAGGCGGTGGCTGGAAGACAAAGGAAGCATTTCTGTGAATCATCAGGTGTGTGCAGGGGCAGCTGGGAAATATGGTCTGCAGCAGGCAGGTGCGCGATTACCTGCAGGAAGTCGTCCAGAGGATCCACAGAGAAAACCTTGGTCACTATGGAGCTCTCTCTGCCGTCACTGCAGACAAACATAAACTTTATTGATCTACACTGTGAAAACATCTGCTGCCTGTACGCACTGATGTCAGGTGACCACTCACCTGGTGACAGCCACCGCTCGGACTGTCACCCGGCCTGCAGGCAGCAGGATGGGCTGGCTGTACTTCCTGCTGCTGCCTGCTGCTCCATGATGCCCCGCCCCCGGCTTTGAACCATCCAGAGTGTAAAAGATCAGAACACCTGCAGAATCTGCACAGACACACCTGTCACATGACCTGCTGGATGGATGGATGCTGGGTGGATGAGCAGACGGTTGGTGTTCTACCTGACTGGATGGACACAGGTGTGCTCGTGTCGATGTGGTTCTTGGCTCCATGAGTCTGCAGGTGGATGATGGGAATGATGAGCGGAGCTGACACTGCCCCTGCTGCCATGACAACAACCGTCTGCCAACCAATCAGTTAGTCAATAAATCAGTTGTTCGGTTCCCTTTCAGACAGTAAGACGTCCTCGCCGGCTTTGTCCCAACATACAGTTTCACTCATTCATGTTTTTACTCAGTTACTTCTGCTGCGTAGCCTCATACTGTCTCATGCATCTGTAAAATACATGGATGGAGCTGAATCTGTGTCCCAGCACAGAGAACAAACCAAAGAACCGACCGCCTGCTGCACAGAGCAGAGAACCTCATATCATAACAACAGGTGCGATAATGAACCCTCTGTACAAAGAAGCCGGGCGACCAACACGCAGCACGCGTTGGTCGCTCTAGCATCGGTCCATGAAACGAGGCAGGAGCCTGATGGATACGAACTCCCAGAGTGGTGTCCGACAGGAGGGCGGGGATGTCGACGTGCACCTGGGCCGCATAGGTGGTGGCTCATGTTCCTGTAGCTTTATTCTGTAGTACAGAATTCACCTGCTTGCTGCTACTACTGCACATTCACCTAATGTATAAACTATATATATATAATGTTCTTCCTCCCCCCCCATTTTTGCACATGTCGAGGAGCGTGTCAGGTTACAAGTCACCGTGTGTTATACTTCTATAACTATGCATGTGACAAATAAAGAACCTTGAACCTTTACGGCGGTTTGCAAACACCTCCGTCAGATTTCAGGCTCTGCAGTTCTCAGCAGCTCAGTGCGGCCACATCAAACTGCTTTGGAGTGATTCCCCCACTGAACAGTCCTGATCCAGAACCTTTACTTGGAAGAACAAAGCCAGTGCTGACCCACTGCCAGGCGCTGCAGCCTTTCCTGGAGGCTGGTCGCCATCTTCTGAGCTAGACCCAGCAGATGCTTGCCCGACTCTTTGTGTTGTTTGTTAAAATGATCTATCATTGATAAAAAGAGTGTAAAGTTCTAGCTGATCCACCACATTAATTTAATTTTCACATGTCGTGTAGCTTTCTGGATGTTATCCTCATTGGGCTACATACTTATTTATCATACAGACTATACAACACTGAAAATCTAAAATCACATATTTTAAGTAACCGAGATGTTTCATTATTTGGTGTAAAGCCAATTAAACAGACTATGTATATATCCACATGTATGCTTACTGCATTCGATGTATTTAACCACATTTAATACATATTACAGAATTAAAGAAACTGCTTTGATTTTGCCACCTCATCTGATTTCCATGCCACCCTAAGAACATGTCTTTAGATGCGCCCCTGCTCCCGGTGACCGTCTGTCTGTCTTCTCATCTGTCGTCTCCAAACATCACAGCGGGTCTCACAGCCTTCTACATCAGGCCAGACACTCGTCTCCACCACCCGTGACCCAGTGGGACATGCAAGTTACTGGTGTGAGTCCTCTGAGAGGACTGAGGTGTTAACATCTCAGGTTTCTGGGAGGGTTTCCTGTTTTCCTGAAGGTTTACCTGAACAAAGCCTGTGATTGGTCCCCGTGTCTTTACCGTCTCTATGTTAGTTTGACTGAAGCTGCTCTTACTTTCACTGGTTTTTTCTGAGCCTTTGAATGGGGCCGGTTCTGGTTCGATGAGCTGCGTATGGCCGGGACACGCCGGTAAATAAAAACAAACAGAGACAGTGTTCTTACCTGGATGAAGGCCCAGGTGATCACCGGGACTGCTGCCGAGTTTACCGGAGTGTCACCCGTTGCTATGGTTTTAAACGCCTAAACGACAGAGGTGGGCGGTGCTGCCAGTTGTAGTTGTAGTACCCGCCCACCTGTGCGTGCTGCGCAGTTAGAAACGTACCCTTTAAAGTTTACATTGGTGAAAAATGACCGTAAAATTTAAAGTCATATATTTCTATATGTGATATATTTTATAAATCACCGGGACAAGCTGCTGTACGTCATCGTCACAGGAACAGACGCCGCCGGCCTAATACTGAAAAAGATCAGTCAAAGAAATTTATTTAAATAAAATTAAGCAAAGAAAGAAAGAAATACTGTGACACAGTCAGGCCGGGTATCTATGCTTAAACACAAACAAAAGGTCGGGATCTGACCGCGGTGTGTTTTTTAATCAGGCGGATTTCAGGACGCTTCCGGTCGCTTGGGACACGGAAGGACCCCAGCGTGTGCTCGCAGCCAGTCACAATATTAGCTCACAGGCTAACTTAGTAACAGCCCCGCGCAGGCAGGAAGCGCTGGAGATGGCTGAGGTGAAGGTGAAGAAGGAGACGAACCTGTCGGACCCCGTGGAGGTCGAGAACAGGTGAGGGGAGGAGCGGGGCCGGCGGGCCGCTCTGTCCGCGCACCGGACTGCGGACGAATACTGTCGCAATTATCGCCTGTACGGTTCTGCTCGCGCACACAGCGCCTGCGTGCAGGTCATGAACGCGCGTTCACACTGCGCCGCACTGCTGGTCACTTCGGCGTTAATCAGAGTCATCAGCTGGCGTCGCACGACCAACATCTGGACATGTTCTGGTCTTTAATGGCGCCTCTGAGCTAAAGTTTGTGCCTGCTGCTCTTCATGTGCAGCCTGAGCAGCCGAGACACAGCAGGCGCAGAAAACGATTAAAACTCAGAGTTTAAACAGAGAAACAGGTTTACTGTGATTTTTACCTGGTGTGTGCGTGTGTTTCAGGATCAAAGAGCTGTGTCAGCAGTTCCCTCAAGGTATCACGGACCAGGTGATTCAGAACGACATGCCTCACCTGGAGCCACAGCAGAGAGCCATGGCCATCAACAAGCTGCTCTCATTGGTCAGTCTGATGATGTCACACACCTCCAGAGCGTGAGGAGAATGGCGCTCTTTTTCACTCTGTGTGCTGAGCGGGCAGCAGGTTGATGAGGTGGTGTTTGTTTCAGGGTCAGCTGGACCTGCTGAGGAACAGTGCAGGTCTCCTGTACAGACTGAAGGACTCACAGAGCACCAGGTAAACACACACACAGGTGTAGGAGTGTACTTCCTGTCAGGTGATTGCTGGTGTCTGAGCTGCTTCCTGTCTGTTCTGTCTCAGTAAAATGAAGGGCTCAGACAACCAGGAGAAGCTGGTCTATCAGATCATCGAGGACGCAGGAAACAAAGGTAACTGAGTACTTCCTGTCCCCGTTTGGCTCGCTGCCGTGGCGTGCTGTGACGACTGCATCTCTCTGCAGGAATCTGGAGCCGAGACATCCGCTTCAAGAGCAACCTGCCTCTGACCGAGATCAACAAGATCCTGAAGAACCTGGAGAGCAAGAAGCTCATCAAAGCTGTGAAGTCTGTGGCCGTGAGTCCGTCACGATCAATAATGGCTGTATCAGCCTTATCGCTGATCAATAATCAATAACATTAGCTGCTGAAAGAGTAAACATTTATTTAAATATGTGCAGAAAAATCAGCTTAAAATGTGGAAAAATTAAAAAACTTTAAATTCTAATTGGATATATTTTACAGATGTTTACAACAAACATCTGTAAAATATGTAAATCAGCAAAAATCTGGAAACTATAAAACAGTTTGGAAATAAACACATATAAGTAAATAAAAATTAAAGACGCGGCGTCTCCGTATGTTTCCTGTAAACAAACGCTGACTTGACGATGTCATACTTCCTCTCCGCTGGCGTGTTTGTGCAGGCGTCGAAGAAGAAGGTGTACATGTTGTACAACCTGCAGCCCGACCGCTCTGTGACGGGCGGCGCCTGGTACAGCGACCAGGACTTTGAGTCCGAGTTCGTGGAGGTTCTCAACCAGCAGTGCTTCAAGTTCCTGCAGAGCAAGGTACAATAAACTTTATTTCATTGTCCAAACGGCGCCCAGCAGGAGGAGGCAGAGCGGCGCTCTGAGGCGGGAATAGGGCGGGGCGGCCTTCTTTCCTGTCTCACAGCTGTGTGAACCGTCATGTGACCCTCGTTGTGTTTCCTGCGTCGAGGCGGAGGCGGCGCGGGACAGCAAGCAGAGTCCGATGGTTCAGAGGAACAGCTCCTTCGCCACGTCGCACGAAGTCTGGAAGTACATCTGCGAGCTGGGCATCAGCAAGGTGACGTCACACCTCAGACGCACCAATCACAGCACAGCGTTAACCTGCAGACAGCTACACACACACACACACACACATTAGATGCAGCTGGGCGCAGATGCTCAGGCAGGCGAGCGTTACCTGAGGAGGCGGGAGCGTAGACTTTATACCTCATCCTGCGTGTAAACAGTCCCCTGGACTCAGGCTAATGACCCGGGTCCAGGTGTTTAAGGCGGGGTTTAGTTGATCTTTGGCCAATCTGCTTTCCTGGTCAGGTGAATGAAAGCGACCATGAGACGAGGTGAAAGGGCGGGGTCGACAGCACGGACCTATTTATCTGTGCGTGTGAATCTGGTGTGCGTGCTTTCCTCAGGTGGACCTGTCTATGGACGACATTGAGACCATCCTGAACACGCTCATCTACGACGGGAAGGTGGAGATGACCGTGATCGCCGCCAAGGAGGGCACGGTGGGCAGCGTGGACGGGCAGATGAAGCTGTACCGCGGCGTGAACACCATCATCCAGCCCACCGGCCTCGTCAAGACGCCGTGTGGACTCTGCCCGGTAACGCGCTCCGCCCACATGTACCCAGGGCCGCTCTCAGGGCACCCGAACTCATCCCGTCTCCTCTCCGCAGGTGTTCGACGACTGCCACGAGGGCGGAGAGATCTCGCCATCCAACTGCATCTACATGAGCGAGTGGTTGGACTTCTGACGCCACGCGTTTCTCTGTGACGGAAGCTTCACTTCCTGTTCGTCACAGACGTGAAGAAGCTGGCGGCCTTAGTTCCTGTGACGATGGCGTGCAGCAGTGTGTCCCGGTTCTGGTTCTGGAGGCGCAACGTTTGTTTTCTGGAGCTGCTTCACTGTTTCTGTTTGACATCGTTAATCTTTGAGGTCGTCTTATTGGTCCCGTCATGGTCACATGGTCTCAGATGTTTTGGTATAATGCCGCTCCCACCTGCAGACGCTCTGTAGTACAACCGCATTTTTGTTTGTGTGTGTGTGTGTGTGTGTGTGTGTGTGTGTGTGTGTGTGTGTGTGAGCGAGCTCCAGTGTCCTGATTATAAAATGATTTGGAAGGAAAATAATTTTTCTTTGTTGGAACCAGTTTTTGACCACCAGGTGGTGCTGTGGTTGCTATGCAGTGAGGCAAACACCTGCAGCCAATCAGAGCCGTTTCTGGTTGTTTGAGCTGAAGGGAACATGTGGACGTTTCCACCTTCATGTTTAAAGTTTTGGCCCTGGCTGCTGGTTTCAGGGACGAGGCGGGGGAAACGGCCCTGAGCGCGGGCTGTCAGGCCGCGGTCTCTGGGAGGGAGAGCAGCGGTCACATTGGCCTGGACCTCCTCTGTTCTGGTTCTGAAGAGCACCAGAGGACTCTGATGAGGCGCTCTGACATTCAATCTGTTCTGTGATTATTTTGGTCCACGAGTGTCGTGATTTGGTGTATGAATAAAGTGGGTGGAGACTTAGCCGTGTGGCATTTACTGTCTGTCTCTGCGTGGTTTTCTTTGAATCTCTGAGGAGGTCATGGAGCTCCTCTCAGCCTGTGAGAGCGCTAATGGGCCTCACAGTGAATCGATGTGGAGACGGTCAGCACTCAGATTATCTCTCTTATTGTCTGATGCACTCTGTGTGTTTGTCCAATCGCAGCCCACCATGTTTTCCATTAGATGCCATTAAGCTCCATCAGGCCGTAATGGGCTCGGCGCTGAGTGTCAGCACGGATCACGTTACACAACATGTTTCATATCTGATATATTCATAGCTCAGCGAGAGACGCTGTGAAGGAGGTGTCCAAATACTGCATTACCCATGAGCCTCAGCTGCCAGTAACTGTCACAGACCGTGTTATTCACATAATGTCATTACAATGCTCCAGAAGGCTCCAGCAGGACAAACGTGAACCAGAGGTGCAGTTCAGGTGATGCTGCACCTGTCAGTCACAGAGGCCACGCCCCTAACATTGCAAACAGGTGCATGGTTGCATGATTTGGTACAGGTGTGAAGGTAGAAATTCTCTGCATCAGCCGTAAATGTGCCGTTAACATGGGAGTCTATGGGGACTGACTCACTGCTGCCTCTGCTGCACACTAGAGGAACTGCAGGCTTGGAGGGTTCTGTGTGTCATTCATTTATTATAAACTACAAAGTTTAATGTGTGCAACGTGAATACATACAGAGATTTATTAGAGCACGTGCCATAAAAACTGTAAAACACGGATATTTAACAGGATGTGTCATCGTTTATTTAGCAAATGTTTTTATCCTCATTAAAACTCATGTTTGTGTTCGGGACTCGTGTCAGAAAGTAATGTGGCCTCTTAATCAGTAATAACAATAATAGTAACAATAACAATATTAGTAATAATAATAAATAACAGTAATAACAACAATAATAGTAACTGTCTGTGGAATAAAGAGCCTCCGACTCGGATCAACTGAAGCTGCTGCTGCTCTCTGCGGCCTGCAGGGGGCGCTCTGCAGGCGGACCCGAAGCCCAGAATCAGACCCGAACCCTCTGAGCGGGGGGAGGGGGCAGTGCGGATTCTTTCCCGTCATCCCCTGCGGCAGCAGCAGGAGCAGCAGCCCCCGCCACCTCCTCTGTGCTCTCCGGTCTGCAGACTCTTCCTCACCTCCGCTGAAGTTTGGAGTGTCGCTCCGACCCTGAGCAGGTAAGCAGCGTCCTGGTCTCTACTATCTCTATTGTGTCTCTACTGTGGCTGTGATTGAAGAGAGGCGCTCCGGAGCCTCGGCTCCTCCATAACTTCGCTCCCCGCCGCCGACGCTGCAGAGCCTCCGGAGCCGCGGGCTCCTACCGCTCCCCGCCGACGCGCGGCCCGCGCCGCGGTGCTCCTCCGCCCGCGTGTCCGCGGCTCGTCCCCGCCAGCAGCCATTAGTAAGGATGGATGAGAATAACGGTGCGCCATGAGAGGAGACAAACAGGCGTGGCCGCGGAGGAGGAGGAGATGAGGAGTATATGCGTCCCGGACAATAACAGCTTCTCTCAGCGGGGCCGAGCCCGCCGAGAGCCGCCGCTCCGACCGGAGAAAGTGCTGGAAAACAGCGGCGGGAGGCCCAGAAACCGGACACAGCTCCTCAGAGTTCCCGTCAGGTTCCGCTCAGCGTGACCGGTTCTGCTTGTATTTGCCACACACACACACACACACACACACACACACACACACAGGACATGTAAATAAAACACAACGTTTCCCAAACCTTCACAGAACGTCCTTCAACCCAAACCGGAACATGAAAGATCATCTGAGGGCTCATATGGGAACACTTGGGTTCTCATCCCAGCGTTCCCAAACCGTTTGTCAGGGTCACAGTTCCCTTATAGGTATGTCCATGAAATGTTCCCTAAAGGTTCTCCTCTAACAGGAAGCCAGTGAACCAGCAGCTTTTGGTTGTGTGAACGTTTTGGGAATGTTTTTCTGACGTTAGGAGCATCCCAACACTGCAGAGCTGGGATCCAACATCCCATAAATTTGTTTGGGACATGTTCTTTAAGGTCCCTGCGTGGTTGGAGTTACCTCCACGTTCCCTGAAAGCTCTTCCATAAGGGAAAATGTCCTGATTTAGAAATTAGAGCCGTCTGTGTTGATGTGAACAAACTCATTTAGAACGACAGGAGCAACCCCCGGTGTTCCCGTAACGCTTCGCTTCCTTTCCCTGAATGTTGCCTGAGTGTTCTAATGGCTGCCTGTCTAATGAGACAGGAAGTGATGGATGGCGTTCTCGGGGTTCTGGTTTAAATATTTACGTGGTTTGTTTTCTGCTGATCGATCAGCTGATCGTTCAGGGAATGTTCTTCAAACGTAAACAGAACCTTTACTAAGCTCCGTAAAGGTTCTGGTTAGTTCACTGATAACACTGCAGCAATGCTCCTTAGAGGTTCCTGGAACTTCAGTTCTCTGGTGGTTCTGTTCTGCCCCCACAAACCAAAGAACCGGTTGGACCTGGTTCTGGTTCTGCACAGTGAAGACTTCACTGCCTGATGAAGCTCTGTGGAGACTTCCGGCCTGTTTGTTGTTCACTCTCGCCGTAGAAAGCCTGGCGTGTTGGACACAGAGTCTGATGGATGTTTGTGTGCGCCTGCTGAGAGCGCCGAGCTGTTTCCTGTTGCCGGGCGGGGTCGGCGCTCCAGGAAATGAGGCTGTTTGTGTGCTGAGTAAATCCAATAACTCCTCCCTGCTCGTGCGCAGCGGCGAGCTCGCTTACAAACACACCTGCAGACGCCAGTGAGGTGAAGCGTGGCCTCCTCAGTGTTCTGTGATCACTTTGACTTCAGCTCGCCGCGGCCTCGTGCATCACCTGGTGATCTGCGTCAGACCTGAGCGGGTGAGGGATTCCTCCTCCTCCATCTCCTCAGCACTGAGGAGACGCAGGAAGCTTACGTATAAAATCAGTTTTAATAAATGACGACTGATCACAAATACACGCGCTGTCACGGCTGATCGGCGTGGCTGAATCGAGTTTTTGGGCTCTGCGGCACCTGCGAGGCCCACTGGGGGCAGCACTGAGTCGGAGGCTCGGTTTGGAGACTCTTCTGTGGTTTTCGGTCGTCGCTCCTCTGTCGTCATGTCATCGTACTAAAAAAACAGAGGAGGAGGAGCTAAAATGTGGAGACGTTCTTGACACTTTCTTGGGCAGAGCAGCGTCGTGGCGTGAGCCAGCTGCTGCCTCAGACTGGTGACACACACCTGTTGCTCCCATGGAGGGCCCCACGGGGCAGAGGGATAGACGTGGTGTGTCCACAGCTGTGCCTGTCAGGAATGCTGTGAGGGTGTGTGTTTTTATTCTCAGCTGCTTCTTCTTCTGTGCCTGTTTGTTTAACGGCAGCTGTGTTTCTTCTTCTCTGGTCTTTAACATATGACTCTTTGTCCTCGACCTCGCCGTGTGGGATGATTATTGACGCTACGGATGCAGAGCTGTCCCTGACCTCCGACCTCTGCGCTCAGACTCTCAGGCTGGGCTGTTTCAGGAAATCGGGTCCATTAGCGTCCCTCGGGACTTCCTCTGAGTGCTGTAATGGCTGCTGCTGCCGCTAAGGCCTATAACTCTGATTCCATTTGCTCCAGTCAGCTGACTCAGGCAGCCAATGGGAGCAGGGCACACACAGACTCATTACATTACCCACAATCCTCTGCTGCTGAGTGTTTAGTGTTTGACTACATAAAGGGCGCATTCTGAAAGTTTCTCTGGAAGGTTCCTCACTGAGAGACGTGACCATGATCGGAGCTGTTCCACCTCCCCAAACACCAAGGAAAGGAGCTTCAGTGCTTCCTTTAGAGTAGGACACACCGAAGCATCCTTGAGGAAAGGAGAGGAGATAACACCGTCCCATAATTCACAGCGACAGGCCATCCGACTGTCCATGAAAACTGTCGACGTAATAACCGAGGCCGAGCAGCTGATGTTCATCCATAAGCTGCTGATGTGTTTATAGTGTTACAGTGTAACCTGTGTGTGACAGAGTTTGAAGCGACGTTTAAAATTCTCTCCTGGGAGTGAAGCAAACGCGTGCATAAGGCCCAAAGTGCTGCTGTTCACAGCTGTCAGCACAGACTCTGTTTGTCTCTGTGAGGCAGTAAATCAGACCCAAATGATCCTCTGGCTTTAAAATTCCCGCCTCTGCGGTGCAGGACATTTACACAGGCTGTTCTCGTTCATATGACCTCCACCAAACAACAGAACACGCTGAGACAGAGTACGATGGACATCCGGCCTCACACCGTCAAGGAGAGAGAGTGTGAGGTCGTTCCACTTCTCTTTTCCTAAGTCCTCAGCAGGAGGTGAGGAAAGGAGACAGGAGGTACCTTTGGAACACACCCTGTTTGAATGATTCAGTTACAACCAGCTGATGTCGGGTGGTGGTTTGTTTACAGGCGGGGCTTCTTCAGCTCACCGAGCAGACGAGGGCTGGGTTACAGCTCCCCCGGTGGCCGAGCCGGGAGAACAGCAGCACATTCCCAGACCCGCTGGGAGGGTGTGACGTGTTTCGGAGCGCAACATAAAAACGATTTGAGCCGATTGCAGCAGGAAACAGATGATTTTAGCCCCGAAGAAGAACAGTGAAAGCTACACATGAAAAGTAACAGAAGCAGGAAGAGGTGTGAGTGTGTCTGTGTGTGTGTGTGTGTGTCTGTGTGTGTGTGTGTGTGTGTGTGTGTGTGTGGGTGTGTGTGTGTGCTGTGTGTGTGTGTGTGTGTGTCGTGTGTGTGTGTGCTGTGTGTGTGTGCGTGTGTGTGTCTGTGTTGTGTGTGATGTGTGTTGTGTGTGTCTGTGTGTGTGTGTGCGTGTCTGTGTGTGTGTGCGTGTGTGTGTCTGTGTGTGTCTGTGTGTGTCTGTCTGTGTGTGTGTGCGTGTGTGTCTGTTGTGTGGTCTGTGTGTGTCGTGTGCGTGTCTGTGTGTGTGTGTGTCTGTGTGTGTGTGTGTGTGTGTGTGTGTGTGTGTGTGTGTGTGTGTGTGTGTGCTGTGTG